AGCATGATGTAACTGAGCTAAGCTTTTATTGGTTCAGGCCCACCAAGTTTGTGTGACTTGTTAGGTATCAACTTTTTTTCGAGCTTAGCCATTACCCTGAGCTTGGGGCATTTGAGGGCAGGGAAGAACAGGTGGCCAAAAGAGAAATGTTGGTGCCTGAGAGTGTGTTTTCCAGTTGTATTGAATTTCTTACGTGGTGTATTTTTGACCTGTCTTAGTTTCTTTCCTTCTTGTGTCCTATGCTTTTTTGCTTTCTATTTGTTAGATGTCTTCTGTCAGTCATTCAGGAGTTGTACAATGGAAGTTAGTATTTCTACTCAAATGCTTTGTGGATGGAACTGATAGGCTTAGCATTGATTTCTGGTAACTTCTTCCTAAAATTAAAGTAAGAAATGTGTTTCCGTGGCTTTGGACTTGGTTTTGGCACTTTGAGTAATATGACTCTTCTTAGAAAAAATGTTTTAGGGGTGCTGGGTGGCCTAGTTGGTTGAGCTTCCAACTCTTGATATCAGCTCATGTCTTGATCTCAGTATGGGAGTTCAAACCCTGTGTTGGGCTCCACCCTCAACATGGAGCCTACTTAAAACTCCAAAAAAAAGAGAGAGAGAGAGAGAGAGAGAGAGAGAAAAGAAAAAAGAAGAAAGTAACAATAGTGTTTTAGAACCCTCAACTGCCAGTTGAACTAAATGTCTACCATGAAAATTGGTAGATTTGCTTCCTGTACTTTTGTTTTCTGTGACTATCCAGATGTCAAGGAACTTAAATAGGTATTCAGGAAAAAAATTCTCCATTGTTTCCCCTTCCTCACCTTACCAGTTAAAGCAGAAATAACTAGTGATGACATTTTAGGTGGTAGAATTGAAACACAAACCCAACTTCTGACCACATGGGCCACAGGCAATTGGCTTAAGCCCTTAGTGTGGTTATGAAGTTGGAGTGGACTGCAAGGGAGTGGGGGATTACTTCTGCTTTCCTCCCAGAAGCTTTGCTGCGTGTTGTTTTGATTTGGGGAGTAGGGGGGATGTTCCCCTTGGTAAAACGAGTAGGGGGATGTTCCCCTTGGTAAAACGTGCTTCCTTTCCTCCTCTGGTCCTCGATTGCATTGAGGCTGGTAACAGTAACATTTCTCTCTGGTCAGGTTTTTTTTTTGGTATTTGCAAATATTGCATTTTTGGTTTTTACTAGTAGTTTTGTTCACTGTCAGTTCTAGTTTTTTTGCATGAAGAATTAGTCCATTAACTTGGCAGATTTGCAGCCTCTTTTTACTTCTTTGAAGTAGATCTTCCCTGCGGAAAGTTTTGAATTTGATTGGTTTTCAATTTGTTGAGCAGTCTTATTTGGGGATAGGTAATTGACAACAGCAGTGACATTTTCTATTCTTAGGATTCTAAATCTAATTTATAATCCTATTGTACTCACAGATTTTAAAATCCTCTCCAGGGGATCCCTGGGTGGCGCAGCAGTTTGGAGCGTGCCTTTGGCCCAGGGCGCGATCCTGGAAACCCGGGATCGAATCCCACATCGGGCTCACGGTGCATGGAGCCTGCTTCTCCCTCTGCCTGTGTCTCTGCCTCTCTCTCTCTCTCTTCTCTGTGACTATCCTAAGTAAATAAAAAATAAAATAAAATAAAATAAAATCCTCTCCAAAACTGGAAGGAAATATCCTGTTGCTTTTTAATTTTTGCTAAAAATTGTCTTTGAAGAGCTGATCATTTTTCAAGTAATTTCTACACACAATGTGGGGCTTGAACTCACAACCCCAAGATTAAGAATTACATGCATGCTCCTTGTACTGAGCCAGCAGGCACCTCTAGAAAAACTGATCTTAATAGGCATCTTCCTTTGTCTTGTGTCATTAGCCTTTTGGTCACTTACTTAGGGCTCTTTGGAAGACAGGAGGATGCCTCGGTGGCTCCTTCAGTTGTTTGACTCTTGGTTTCTGCTAGAGAAATGGTCTCTTGGGGTCCTGGGATCCCTGCTCAGCAGGGAGTATGATCAGGATTCTCCCACTCCTCCCATTGAGTGAGCCCCTGCGTGCACTCGCTTTAAAACTAAATCTTTAAAAGGGGCGGGGGGGAATTTTGAGGCATGGTGAAAAAAAATGTTACTTTGAAAGAGGAGTAATTAAGTGGCTCAGTTATGCACAATTCCCAGCCCCAAAATTAATCTAGAACCACTAAATAGCACCAATAAAAATATTTACTTAGCATTCATTATATTACAGGAAATGTTCTAAGCATTTTACATATATTACTCATTTAATTCACAAGTCACCCCTCTGTAAGATAGGTACTTATTTTGTCCTCATTTTCCAGATAAGGAAATGAGGCCCTGAAAGGTTAAGTAACAGGTTATACAAGCTGGGGCTGAGGTGGGAAAGAGGAACCTTTCCCAAGCAAGGGAAAGGGGGGAGAAAGATGGGGAGGGGATCAAGTTTTATTTGGGTGAATGTAGGCACATTTTTTTTTTTGTTTTTGTTTTTTGCTTAGACACCAAATTTTCAGTTATCATACCAAAAAGTAACACCATTGACTCACCCACTGAAAGTTGTTGACGATACAAAGGATGAATTTACTGTGTTTAGATATCCCCAATCTTTTGACTATGCCCCAGTATGGCTATGGAAGCTGGCTTGAGGAGGGGCTGTTGTTTGTAGTTAAGGATATTGTCTGTCCTAAGGGTAGAAATCCCCCTTCTAAGGATGGAGTCTTTGATCTTACTGGTTTCATTATATTCCTCAAAACATTTGGAGCTAATTGTTTTTGAGTAATTGCTCCAAACTTTCGGATCCAAATTTTCCCTTTGGAAAATACCATGAGATATAAAATTTCATCTGAAATTAAAAAGCTATTTTCTTTTTAAGGGAGAGTTTGGAGAACAATCAGGAATTCTGGTTTCCTCTCATGGATGGAGATAAAATTAGCCATTTTCCTCAAGAAAAGTGATATCCCAGCTCTCTAGTAATGAGAACTGGACTGTTTTCACTTGACCTCTACTTCCTGTTCAATGGGAAAACCCCTCCAGAGATGCTGTGAGAAAGATTGCTGGAGAAGGTTTTCTAGATCCTGGAATAAGAAGTTCAAGAGAGTCCAGCAATTTTATCATTAGGATAATGGTCTTCCTAACTACTAGTTTCATTATCCTCAAGCCTCATTTTCAACAGTTTGAAAGGCTGCAAAGGAGGAGAGGCTAAACTGGGGAGGAAGAGAACTTGGTAGAGATGAATTATATAGACCTTGAAGGGAATGTGTGCACCAGAAGCAGAAACTTGGATACACTGAATGAAAATGAAAGAACAGGCAGTATCTAAGGTCAGAACAGAAGGGCTTTAGTTTACCTAGTTAATTCCTTAGATTTACATCTTAGTTCACTCCTTATCTTGCATGTGCATATAAACCTAGGCTTCCTGAAACTTTTTTTTCCTCCCCAGAAGAGCAATGGACATTTTTATAGGAGACCTAGGAGCCACTGTAGCAGCTTAGCTGAGGGATGTGTGAGAAACTGTTCATCATTTTCTGTCCCCTCCTGTCTTAGGCTGACCTGGTCCTTGATGTGCTACCTGCTTCTGCTACTGATCCATACTGCAGAACTTCTCATTCATCCCCAAGGCCTTGAAGCGATGTCCAATAGGGAATCGACTCTAAAAGGAACCAGACCAACGAACGTTTCCAGCCCCTTCATTCTGGTGACTGAGGGAAGGAAACAGTGGGAGGGGTTATACATGTGTAGTGGATGGAAGGGAAACAGACTGTCAAATTACTCTCTTTAGTTTCTTTTACGAATAGAATTCTACAACCATATTATTTCTATTGTGTAAGTATAGGGGAAGTTCAAGATGGTGACCTTGATTAGAATGTGTCTGGAGAGGAGTAAATGGAGTGTATTAGATAAGAGACAGTTGGTTATGAAAGATGTTGAAGCCTTGAAATAATGTGACCATCTGAGGAGTTTTTTTTTAAGCCAGAGTTTATAAAAATATCACTGATATAGCCTGCCCCCTCATTTCCCGCCACAGGAGACTTCTTGGACTGGAGACACTTGTTTAATAATAGCTTGTCTCTGATATTCCCAGTAGCTACCTCTCTGTGAGGAAAGGATAGCAAACGTTCAGGACATCATCATACAAAGTTCCAGTAGCAGTGACGCCTACACGGAAGACGTGGAACTGCAAACAGGCCGGGGTCACCTCAGTGACATCTGATGCCCGTCCAACCACAAGTTCAATTTTTGTTTTGTGGGGTGAGGAAGCAGACTGTACTGAAGCACTAAAATGATTCGTCTATACTTTCTCACTCGTTTTTATTTTTAAATTTTTTTTTTGGCGGGAGAGAGGGATGTTCGGGTAAGATTTCATATCCTATCTGGAGTTAAAGGGAGGATGAGAAAGCTCAGCCCTTCGCCCAGGAATAAGCCAGTCATGACATCTCTACGCGTGGGAAGTGTTTCCCTCAGCTGGGAGGATCTGAGGCTGCACCCCAGTGGGATTCCTTGCCGCTCCGAGGTAGACGCGTATTGTAGCAGGAGTGCGAGGGTTTAGCTGGCTAGGGACGAACTACCAGCGGGGAGGGACGCTCGAAGTCCTAGGGGCTTCCCCCCAATTTGGAGCCCGCGCCTCCGATTGCTGCGTATATGGGGCTGAAGAGCCGGGTGACCGCCGTGGCCCGCGCCATCCGCCGAGGGTCTGGCAAGGACGCGACGCCGCCGGGCACCGCGTCTGGGTCCCGGGAAACGGCCCCGCCGTGCCCAGCGAGCCCGCGCCAGACCCTGGCGTCCTCCATCTTCTCTCCTGCTCTCCCCCTGCTCCAGCTGCCGGAGCCGCGGACCGCAGCACCACACACCCCCGCGGGGGGGGACGCCGCGCCCCATCCCCGCCCCCGGCCCCACCCCAGCCCCGCCGCGGGGGCCCTGACCCCACCGCCGGCGGGCCCTGGCTGAGCTCCGAGGCGGCGAGCCTGCGGCGAGGACGCCCGGGAGGGGTCCGGGCGGCCGGGGGCGGCGGCGGCCGGGTCGGGGCTCCCCCCCCGCCCGCGCTCGCCGCGGCGGTGGTGCGTCCCGGAGGTTACCGGAAGTGGCCGCGCTCGGCGCTGCCATGTTGAGGAGCCGCCGCTGCCGCTGCCGCCGCCGCCGCCGCCGCCGCTTTGTTGTCGCCTCCTCCGGCTGAGGAGGCTCCCCGAGCGGGGGGAGTGGGGAGGAGGGGGGTCGGCCGCCGCAGCCATGGAGGCCAACTGGACCGCGTTCCTGTTCCAGGTACTGGGGGCCCCCCCGGGGGGGCACGGGGGGGACAGGGGGGCCGGGCCCCGGGCTGGCGGGCGGGCGGGCGGGCGCTCCTCCTCCCCTCCCTCCCGGCTCCGCGCTCCGGCCCGGCCTTAATCCCCCTTTGTTTTTCCGCCCGCCCGCGCCGGCGGAGCGGGGCTGCTGAGGTGAAAGGAGGCGGCCTCACGGGGTGCGGGGGAGAGAGCAGGCCTCGGGGTGAACCCCGGGCCCCCCCCAGCACACTCAGGCACACGCAGACACCCTTCCCTCCCGCCCTGAAGGGGAAGGGAGGAGGCCGGTCGCTGTCACCACCCGCGGCCCAGAGAAAGGAGGGCGCTGGGCCGCTGGCCGCTGGCCGCAGCGCGCCCGGCCCGGGCCCGCACGGTGGGGTGAGGGGGTCCCCAGGTCCGACTCCGAGACACTCCCCACACACACGCACGCACTTCATCCATCTTTCGCTCGCTCTCCTGCCTCCTCACCGCCCTCCCCTCTTTTTGTGTGTGTGTGTGTGTGCGTGTGTGTTGACTTTCTGACCCCCCGTCCCCGCGGCTAGCGGGCATCCCTGGGTTCCCCGCCACTCCCCCTTCCCGCCGCCCCCCTCGTGTTTACCCTGTTGGGGGGTGTTGTGCGTCTCCCCTCCCCAAACTTTTTCACTGGATTTACGTTTTTTGGTGTTTTTTTTTTTTTTTTTTTTTTTTCTCTCGCAAGCCTTTGCCGAGCCTTGGCAGCTGACACTCTGTCCAGCTCTCCCTCTGTCCAGCTCTCCCGCCGTCCCATTCAGCCCGGGGAATCCCCCAGCCTGGCCGGGGCGGGAGGAGCGGGGCGGGGGGGCGGAGGGGCGGGGGGTGCCGGGACTCCTGGAGGCCCGACCTTCTCCCGGAGCGCTTTTCCCTCTCGTCCCACCTCGAACGTTTCCTCCAACCAAGTGGGGGAGACGGAAAGTGGAGAGAGCAAACAAAGTCGGCTTACAAAGCCCCCAGATGAGTCATGCGTTGGGGTGTTGGTCTACACTTTTTTTTTTTCTTTTTTTTTTGCAAGAAACTTGAAAGTGTAGACGATACGTTGGCAGTCCTCTTGCCCGCCCATTTTAGGTGGGGGACCCCTGTTGGGAAGACCTAGGCTGGAACTTAATTTTTTCCCCTGCTTCATTTCTATTTGCAAACGAAGCACTTAGTGGGCTGTAGTGATGAGCTCACGGGGAAACTTCGGAACGGGAGGAGGTTAGGAAGCTTGTCACTTTAAATAAATGCGTTCTTCCCGCCTCTCTGGGTTATTTTCCTTCTTTGAATAACTTTGTGAAATCCCAGACGCGTTACTTGGGCGCTTGAGACCTTTTGAAACTAACCAGGAATGGATGCAGAATTTTCAAAAAATTCGCCCAGCCACTGGACTCATCCCAGTGGAAGTAATATAGCGAATTGGATAATTCGAACATTACCTATAGTGTAGAGCTGGTTTATTGTTTTAAGACATATTTTCTCTCAAATGTGAGTAATTCGATTTTTATGTAGTTGATTGAAATATGTTCCGGCTTCTCAAAATTGAAGATATGCAAAATTATGGAACTCACAAACTTTCTCATTCTGATCTGATATTGTTTTATCATGCTTTAAGTCAACTTAAAAAAAAATGCATTGAGAAAAAAAATGATAAATAACTAGCTGGCATCCAAATTGGTGTAAAGGTGGCAAATGCCCTCTCTCCAAAATCTTTCAAATGGTCGTTTTAAATATGGGATTAATGGGCCACCTAAGTGATTTTCATGTGAGGAATGATTTAGATTTACCATATTAAACCTACTGCCCATAAACTTCATGGAGATTGCAAAAAAGAGTTCTTTATGTAAAGGAAAAACCAATAACTGATTTTTGGAAAGCTAATTGAACAATCCTTTGGAATACTTTTATTATTCTTTTTCTGGATAAGACAAATGCCAAGCATTTATTGATCAACTTGTTAATTAGATTTTATATTATTTAATTTTTTTTTCAGCAATTAAAATCTTTTTTTCCACCTGATGGAGAAGTGTGAAAACTAATATTTGATCCTGGGCTTGGCAATGTGTGCAGTGAAAATTGTTGGAAAAATAATTTAGAGCCGAGGACAGTTGAATGGGTAAAGAGAATATTTCAGTCTTTTCTATGGAAAGGTATGAATAGACTTACTCAGTTTCAGTTTTAAGTAATTTTTACTGGGGAAATGGGAGAGTTAAACTCTCTTGTTTGTTTCCTAGAGCATATTATTGAATTTATATTTTAAAACAATTTAATACCTGCTTGCTTTCCAGATAACCTGGTGGAAAGTGAAAGCCATAGCTGTTAAAATGTTTGATGGATGATTCTCCTAACAGGACATTCAAGATATGACTCACTGATGCTAATTTGTTTCAGTACAAAATTTTTTGCCCTCTGGCAGCGGAGATTTCATGGTGCTATATCTTACTACCCTGGGTGATGAAATAACATTTCTGTTTTGTTTTTTTTGCCAACTTCAGAAAAAGGAAAGCTTGGGCAGGGTTAAAAAAAAAAGCCTTAAAGTTGAAAGAGATGGGAGATAAAATTAAAGCATTGGTTTGATGATACCAGTCAAATAAAAGTCTACCCAGAAGTTCTTTTTTTTTGTTTTGTTTTGTTTTTTTTTTTTGTTCTTTTTTTTTTTTTTTTTAATCACTTAACTGAAGGCAGGCCATGGTTGTTATTTTACTCTGTCTCTCCCTCAGAGAACAAGTTGGGAAAACCCAGTTCCCCTCTTAGAAGGCTTCATGTAGAAGTGTGGGGATCCTAGGAATCCTCAGAGAGTGATTCCCGTAGTGGTCGAGGCATTCTACAGCATTTCACCCAAGAAGCAGGGACCTGGTGTGACCCTCGTGTGAGAGTGAGCTTCAGCAATGCTGTAAAAATACTTTATGTTGCCACAGACATCTGAATTGGTAAAATGGCAGTAAGTGCTTTTAGTACTCCATCGAACTAATGGTTGTTTAGAATTGAAAAATGCCTCTAAACACTATAAGTCTGAACTTTGTCCAGAAGATTTGCATTCCCTATTATCTGATCTGTTAGCCTTTGAAATTGTATATCTTGAACTATCTTCAGCTATTAACTGTTTGTATACTGTATGGAAACTTGGGTATCCACAGCCAGGTTGGAAAGGGGATAAGATTTGCATCCAAATTCTGTAAAGTTTCCACTAATGTCTCATGGGCAGACACTGACATTTACAAGAGCTCCATAAATTAAATTAAAAGTGGACTATAATTCGGTATGATCCCTAAGTCCAGAAAGATGCTCAACAGGTCAGCACATAATTTCTGTGAGTACTTCCAGGACTCCAATGGGATTCAACCAAAATTATTAAATTGGAACTGGTAACTCTGAATACCACACCTCCTAATGACTTGGGGGAGACTTGGTTCCAGGCTTAGCTGTTGTGCTGCCATCAAGTAAAAATGGAGCTATGTGTGGTAGATACTTCTATCCATTAGGGGAGAAGAAGCTCTGTGTGAATGTGTGTGTCTGTCTCCTTGTTTTCCTCTTAATCAAGTTAACTGTAGGACTTGTGATTATAGAGTAAGAAGGCTAAATAAGTGACTAGAAGGTCTAAGATAATGGGATGGGCCCCTCCTAGGATGTTGTATACTTAAAGTATTTGGAACTCTTACCGCTAAGTGCATGTATCCATCCTTTGAGGATTACAAAACTCAAGCATAGGGGCTTGGGTTCACTGTCCAAAAAGTTTCAAAAAAGAACATTGATAAAGTACAACGTACCAGGAAGAACTATTTCAGGAATGTTTCCCATCATTTTCTAAATGTTTATCAGAATGGAGAATTTTGAAAGAATAAAAACCAAGAGAGTAACTATTCATAAATACCAAGAACCTGATCACAAACCTGACGATGAAATTTTGGTTGCAGTGCAGCTAAGGAAAATTTCCAGTGTCCAACTTCAGAGTGGAGAAGCACATCATAACAGCAAATGTTTAATACTTTAACAAAATGTATAAGTGCTGGAAGAGGATGAAAATGAAAGGAATTTTAATTATATTTAGTTTGTTTTTTCTCGCTAGTCTGTCTTAGTGTAGGGTTTGTTGTTAAAGGATGCAGATTTCTAGTGTAGTATCAAATGAACTGAGAGACAACTGACCAGTGTTTTGCTGTAGGCTATACCTTCACAGATGCCTTCCAGGCTGATTAATAGCAAGTTTCATTTCAATCAGATCTTTTAGTAGGAAAATTAAAAAGTAAACTTTTAAAGAAGTTTTAAAGAAAACTTTAAAAGTAAACTTAACAAATAGTGCAAGTATTCAGAGAGCTAGCATCCTTTTTATCACTTAGCAACAGCCTCCTTCCTCAGTCACTAAGTTCTGTGATGGGAGACATTGCCTTTCTTTTCCTAGGTAAAATAGACAAATAGATGATTATGTGTATATATGTATATGTGTGTGAGTGTCTAGCGTGTGCATTACTGCAGTAAGGTACTGGTAAATACTTAAGTCTGGAGTGTAATTCTTTTGACAAGTTATTTAAACTTGGTTTCAGCACTGACAGACTATGCAAACTGATTTCATCAGCTGGTGTGTCTCTTATGAACCAGAGTGGTGTGTAGTCAGCTGTTTGAAAGCAAGATCACTGTCAGCAACTTAGTCGTAAAAGTTTTGTGTCTGCACAGTGATTTTTAATGCTTTGTTTTGGGAACTCTGAGGGTAACTAGGTGGTTGCTGGATCTCTGCTGCAGGGAGTAGCTTACAGGCTCTTTGTTTCTTCTGGTCTCTGTTGTCTGGAGCATGTTGAATTTTGAAGGCCATTGTGCGAGGCTGAGTTTCTGAAGTGTAAATGTTTGGTTTTAGGCCCATGAAGCCTCCCATCACCAACAGCAGGCAGCACAGAACAGCTTGCTGCCCCTCCTGAGCTCTGCTGTGGAGCCCCCTGATCAGAAACCATTGCTTCCAATACCAATAACTCAGAAACCTCAAGCAGCACCAGAAACATTAAAGGATGCCATTGGGATTAAAAAAGAAAAACCCAAAACTTCATTTGTGTGCACTTACTGCAGCAAAGCTTTCAGGGACAGCTATCACCTGAGGCGCCATGAGTCCTGCCACACAGGGATCAAGTTGGTGTCCAGGTCAAAGAAAACCCCCACCACGGTGGTTCCCCTCATCTCCACCATTGCTGGGGACAGCAGCAGAACTTCGTTGGTCTCGACCATTGCTGGCATCTTATCAACAGTCACTACATCTTCCTCGGGCACCAACCCCAGCAGCAGTGCCAGCACCACAGCTATGCCCGTGACCCAGTCTGTCAAGAAACCCAGTAAGCCTGTCAAGAAGAACCATGCTTGTGAGATGTGTGGGAAGGCCTTCCGAGATGTGTACCACCTCAATCGGCACAAGCTCTCCCATTCGGACGAAAAGCCCTTCGAGTGTCCTGTTTGTAATCAGCGCTTCAAGAGGAAGGACCGGATGACTTACCATGTGAGGTCTCATGAAGGAGGCATCACCAAACCCTATACTTGCAGTGTTTGTGGGAAAGGCTTCTCGAGGTACTGCATTTTGCTTTGCTTTTGTTTTTATTAGGTATCAGTGAATTTCAGTTTTGTCTTTTTGTGACCCAGAAGGCTTATGTGAGAATAGCCGTGGGCAGGCCTGTGTTATTAGAGGAGATTGATGATAGATAAAGTATTACACTTCCAGGTCTAATTCCAGTTTGGTGTGGTTGACAAGTGGTGACATAGTGATTAGCTTAATATTTCAGTTCAGTAGTGGCCTGGTGGACTCAGGCCTTCATTTGGCACATCTGTAATTCTTATCACTGCAAAACCATTGGTTTCCAATTCAGCTGGGTGACTAGACTTGAGGTTCACTGTGTAAATCAAAGAAACTTATTTCCTGGAAGTTGGGATGACCTTGGATACTCTTAGTATAACTTTTAGGACTTTTTCCCATTTTTCTGTGGTTACTAACCTTTCACTAGTTTCCTTTTTAAAGGCTTTTGAAGTTAATATAGTAGTAACTGTCTCTGGCAAGTGTTAGGACTGAAACTTTGGGTATTTTATAATTTAAAGAACCAAGACCTAACATGATTTGATGTTGACTAGAAGAGAAAAATTAACAGGTAAAGGACTAAAAACTTTTGTTTATGGTAACAGAGGTAAGGAGGCTTGCACTGGGGGGAGGGGGAGTTGATAGTTCTGCTAGCTTTCTTTAAAATGCCCTCCACCCAAAGCTGCCAAGCATGTAAACATCACAGTGAGTAGCATTTCTCAATGTGTGTTCCATTACATCTTCTGTTGAAACTCTCTCTTTCACAGGCCTGACCACTTAAGCTGTCACGTAAAACATGTCCATTCAACAGAAAGACCCTTCAAATGCCAAGTAAGAGTTAAAATGACTTATCCTTAGTGTAGCACTTAATGCACAATATCCAGAAGGTCTGAGCCAATCAAATCTCACCGTTCTTGAATAGTCTTAAAATCACTGACTTGAGTAAATGTGGTCCATTTGAATTCTGGTTTTATACAATATAAATGACAGCTTCTATTTCTGTGAGGCAAGAGCATTTAAAAATGTAAATGTGTTGTTTTCGTTAAGCTGCATTTCCCTTTCCTTAGGCAACAGTATTTATCTTACAAGAAAAAAATGTATAGTCTTGCAAAGGTCATTATGTATTTGAAATGAATAAATGAATGAAATGCTTTAAGTTATTTTCTGGGTGGATGATTTTTAACCATAAAAGAAGAAAATAGGAATTTTCTCCCAAGTGGAGAAAAATTATTGGATGTTTGTCTGTCAAATTGGAGCCTTTTCTAGTTGTTTGAAAATCTGTTGATTTTATTTGGCCTAAGTTGTGATAATGAAAAGGTTAAGAATCTTGCTAAATCCAATGACTTTTTTTAGACATCAGTAATTTTAGATTGTTGCTGGAAGTCTTTCTGTGCTCCTTTCAGTTAAATGTGTTAACAACTGACTTTATTGAGTAAATGATTTGAATCCTAAGAAAAATCCAATCCAAGGAAGGAAGCTAGTATCATTTGAGCAAGTGCCTGCTATGTGGGAGGCCTTGGGCCAGGCTCTTAATCTCACCAGTAATTTTGTGAGGTAGGTATTACCCTCCTTTTACAGATGGAGAAACAAATGCAGATAGGTTCATTTGCTTAGTGTTACACTGTTTCATGAATCAAGGAGCTGCATTTATTTCCAGGTTTAACTGACTACAGCTTTTTCAGTACTCTGTTATTTTTTCTTCCCCCTAAATGTAAGGGTCTAAAATTCACCAAGTGTTTCCTTACGATTATGATTCTAGGTAACACATTCAGTTAAAATGCAACTAACTAAGTCTGTTTGCAGACATGGATAGGGTTATGCCTAGAATATAACTTACTTTAAAATGAGTAGAACAGGATAGTCTATATTTAAAAAAAGTTTTCCTCCCTCATGCAGACGTGCACTGCTGCCTTTGCCACCAAAGACAGACTGCGGACACACATGGTGCGCCACGAAGGCAAGGTATCGTGTAACATCTGTGGGAAGCTTCTGAGTGCAGCATACATCACCAGCCACTTAAAGACACATGGGCAGAGCCAAAGTATCAACTGTAATACATGTAAACAAGGCATCAGTAAAAGTAGGTGACACTTCAAATTATATTTCTGTTGCATTTCAGATTGATGAAATGGATGTTTTTCATAATGTTTTGAAGATGTTTTTACTGTGCTCTCAGAACTGTGTTCATATTCATCTTACATGTTTTTCTCCTATGACTAAAGCATATAAACACATGTTAATGGAGAGTATATACTGGTATTGGAGATCTACTTCACCTGCGTGGGTAGATACAGACAACACTGACAAGCCCTCCACTAATTTTGCCCAGTCCCGTGTTTGTCTACTAATAGCAGTCAAGTTAGAAAAGCAGAATTTCCCTGTCGCTCTTTTTTCAACGTGTCCCTTCTGTGGAGTTTGAACAAAAAGCTATGGTGTTTTAGAATTGTAGCAGCAGAAGCCACACTAGGAAGTTGCAGCTTATGTGAGACAGTTTTCATTGTTTTTGTTAAGAAAGTTTTATGAGGTTAAGGAAGATTCTTAAGCATCAGTGTCTCCTAACTCCTGTTTGAGTTAATAAAATGCCCTTGATAACCTTAAAGATGAATGTGGCATCAAGTTTGCTTCTCAAAATCAAATCAGTAAAGTTGGGATATCCTATCCATTTGGACGTGTAAGTGCTGTGCTTACCTTAAATTCAGAATCAAAGATAGAATATTTCAGGGAGGGATCCCTGGGTGGCGCAGCGGTTTGGCGCCTGCCTTTGGCCCAGGGTGCGATCCTGGAGACCCGGGATCGAATCCCACATCGGGCTCCCGGTGCATGGAGCCTGCTTCTCCCTCTGCCTATGTCTCTGCCTCTCTCTCTTTCTCTCTCTCTCTGACTATCATAAATAAATAAAAATTTTAAAAAAATTAAAAAAAAAAAGAATATTTCAGGGACTCATGAGTAAAATTCAGTATTTGCATTTACCCAGGCTTTGTCTTTGAGATTGCCCTAACCACCAGAAGAAAATCTATTCCTAATTCTGTATTCTGTTTTATATATATGTATATATAACACACACACTTTATGCTGCAGAAACATTAAATTCTCAGAATAGGTGGCCAAAAGTGAGCGGAAAAGAACACTTAGTTTGTTTTAATCTCATCCATTTTTGCTTCTTTGTAAGTACATTGGGTTTATTATCTGGCATGTCACGCTTTTTAACTTTACAAAAATTTGCTTTTAGTGTGCATTGTTGTCAAGTAACCAACTTGATTAGATATTTCAATGAGCATAAATTAGTCTATACTATTATTACCCAAGTTCCATTCTAAAAGACACTTTTAATATAGCAAAGAATTATTTTCTCTTTTATATTGATTTTCCCCCAGCTCTCTCCATTTTTCTTGTAGTAATTTATTTATTTTGACCAGTATAGACAGAAGCAGCAAAAGAAGATGCTCTCTAGTAAAAACTATCAAGTCAAATAATAATAAAGGTCAGAGAAGCTTGAAGAACCAAAGTATCTAAGTTTCAGATTTTGAAAAAATGGCTACACTTTTTCAAGGTAATGTAGCATCTATGGTTTATCTTTGGAGTAGCATGCATGAGTGAAGAAACCAGCAGCCAGAAGCAGCAGCAGCAGCAGCAACAACAGCAGCAGCATGTGACAAGCTGGCCAGGGAAGCAGGTGGAGACACTGAGACTGTGGGAGGAAGCTGTCAAGGCAAGAAAGAAAGGTAAGATGAGGGACACCTGGGTGGCTCAGTGGTTGAGCGTCTGCCTTTAGCTTAAAGCGATCCTGGGGTCCTGGGATCAAGTCCTGCATTGGGCTCCCCACAGGGAGCCTGCTTCTCCCTCTGCTTATGTCTCTGCCTCTCTCTCTGTATCTCTCATGAATAAATAAATAAAATCCTTCAAAAAAAAAAAAAAGATAAGATGAGGTGGCCAGTGCTCATGGTACGGCTGATATGTGTTCACGTAGTGTGCCCCAGGCTCCAAGAGAGGCATCCACAGCTTAGGGAATCTGGCTTCCTGGAAACCTGGAAATACTATATGTTGGCCACCAAGCTTCTAAGCTTCCAGATAAGTGTTTTTTGTTTTTGTTTTTTTACTTAAAGAAATAAAAAATCCTTAGTGCTTCTGGTCATATTCTTTTGATTGACCTTTTCTTAGAAATTTGGAGCCAGATTTGGTCCTTCACTGTATGTTCAGAGTTCCATTTTTATGTCAATCTCCATGCATTATGGGCTCCTCTTTTGCCCTTCTAAAACATTCCCACTTTTGGAGGTGGATGAAATATTCTTTTGGTACACAAGTTTATTTTCTTACAACTTTGCTATTTTCTGCTCTTTAATGTTCTTTCTGTGTTGCATTATGTATTACCTGTTTCCGGCTTAACGATGCTGATATTTTTGCTCTTGGTCTTACCTTAATCTCATTCAGTCTCTTACTGGGGCTGGTGTTAGCCTAACATGTGTGTACTTAAGTTGTTAGGGACTTTACTGTCATTGTTACTAAGATTGAGAATGGTTTGCTTTCCTCTTCTAAATCTTGTGAAGAATTAGTTGGAGTATCTGTTTTCCACACAGCTTTTTAACTTAAGACTTAGAGTTTTGGCTTCTGGACTATTGTGGGGGCATTTCAAATCAATCATTTTTGTCTGTGTACCATCAGCCACAGAGAGATTCCTAAATTGCTTCTTTCCTTCCTGACCTCTGCCATGTCTTACTGTTTTATTTCAAATTCATAAGGAATCCTTTGCCTGTAGGCTCCTCTGTAATTCCTTCACTGTGTAGTCTCTTCCCTCCTTTGCTTTCATGTAGTACAGCTCTTCCCTTCCACAGATCCCTTCTAAACACCCTGTATTTGGGATCCCTGGGTGGCACAGCGGTTTGGCGCCTGCCTTTGGCCCAGGGCGCGATCCTGGAGATCCGGGATCGAATCCCACGTCGGGCTCCCGGTGCATGGGGCCTGCTTCTCCCTCTACCTGTGTCTCTGCCTCTCTCTCTCTCTGTGTGTGACTATCATAAATAAATTTTTTTAAAAAAAAAAAATAAATAAATTATAAACACCCTGTATTTGGATAAAGATGAAAGGAATATAGAGTCCTTTTTCATACATCTACTCGCATTGCAGCCAGATAGGCTTTCTACCCTTCCTCAGTAGCTTCGTGCTCTTCTCTTCCAAGTGAAGATTTGTTATTATTTAATAAAATGTTTTATGGTTAGAAGAGGTGGAGATGAGGGTGTGCAGGAAAATGTCTATGTGCTATGACAGTCGCAAGTAGGTGAAAGCATGTTATGAAGGATGTTTTACTTGAGAAGGAGTAAGAGTAAAATGATTTAAGTCCTAGAAAAGGTTGATGTTAGACTGAAAAGAGAGGCAGGGGCGGGTGGGGAGGGGCCGGCACAGGTGAGGGTGAAAGCCCCTTCTTTGGTGGAAACAAGAATACCTTTAGCAGTGCTAACATCACCTCAAAAGTGAGTCGGTTTTCCCTTTCTGCACTCTTCTTTTGGGTGTTGTGTTTCATTTTGCGTGCACAATAAGACTCAATTGTTTAGCTCATCTTTTGACCTCCACGAAACAGAATGCTATTGTATTCCCATTTGTAGCATGAATCTCTCTGGAAATGACCACTAGTATTAGAAACGTCTGTATTCGTGTTAGTAAAATGTCACATCTTGGGGGAGAGGAGATTCCTGCCCTGACAACCTAAACTTGAATCGCCAGGTCTCTTTTTTTAAATAAGGTAATATAAAGTCCCCAAACCTGAGTAAGAATCAGATCACCCATCTCAAGAGCTTTTTAAAAATACAGATTTCTAAAGTTCCATCTAAATATCATTGTTGAATTTCCTGGGAAGTTTTGTTTTGTTTTGGTTTGATTTGATTTGGTTTTTGTTTTTGTTTTTGTTTTAAAGCTCCCTAAATAAATGATTTTGATCATCAGCCAGGTTTGGGAATTCCTGACAGAGAGTATGGAGTTTGCCAGAGTTCCATCATATTGATCAAGGGAGTGCTGCTTATTGACTCCAGGGTCAGCGTGAGGTGATTTGACTCGGATGTGTGGAATGTGTGCAGACCTCTGTCCTTAGTCTTAAATGTATTTTCTCCATTTTGATAGCCAAGTCACATGCATCCAACTAGCCAGCTCATCTGTCTTCTCACTGCTGTTTTCTGACACACCAGCAGGTGGTGCTGAATTTTATTGAGGGGTGGGGTGGGGTGTCACCTCTGAGGGAAGTTTTCTTTAAGAAGTGCCCAGGCTTTGCTGGGTAACAAGCACCAAGGTCCCACAAATCACTGTAGGGTCTTCTTGCTTAATTAGTCCTCCTTGGTATGGTTGATGATGTATAGAATGTGTGCAGTTAAATGACACTGGGTGTAAAGTGGGTGATTCTGTCAGCATCAGAAAGAGAAGAAATGGGAGTGGAGAGGAAAATATAAACCCACTGAGAGATATTTTCTCTTTCCTTAGCATAGTTAGGGAACCTAACTAGACACATTAGGATTGTTTAAACGATTTTTCTAAGACTGAAATAAACAGGTGATATGAAAATAGCTTGTTGGTCAGTCCCTACTTTGGGATTTTTAAAACCTTAACAGAATGTAGCTTCACCTCTGAGGCTTTAGAGTAAATAGCATTGAGGATACACAACTCTCTCCGCTAGTTACAGTGTGCCTTACCAGAAGATTTTTCTGATTACCTGTTCTTGTGTGACCATCGGCCCAGCTCTGTGTAAACAAGCTCTTTCTCCCGGCCTGCCAGTGGTTGGCTCTGCCTGCATGAAATGGTAGTGAGAATACTAAGCCCTGCTTGATATCTCTGCCTCCCAGAGTGCCTAGCAGAAATTAACTGATCTTCCCAGCATCACTGTGAGGTAGGTAAGTAAATCTAAATTTGAAACCAAAAGCGCCAGGCTAAACAAGTTGCCCAAGGCCATGTGGGAGGAATAGCATTAGAAAAGATTCATGCATCGCCAGTCCTGTACTCAGAAAGAGCCTCCCTTCCTGTTGACCGCTTGGTAAAGAACCTGTAATTTCATTCATTAAATGTCCTTTTTAATTAAAAAAAAAAGTTGGTTCAGAGTTGTTTGTGAATTTAACTCATTGTTTTGGGAGTCTAAAGGCCATTTTGTCTTCTTATTTTAGAAGCTGCTAACCTGTGCCAAACCTCCACGGCTGCTACGACACCTGTGACTCTCACTACTCCATTCAATATAACGTCCTCTGTGTCGTCTGGGACGATGTCAAACCCAGTCACAGTGGCAGCTGCAATGAGCATGAGAAGTCCAGTAAATGTTTCAAGTGCAGTTAACATAACCAGCCCAATGAACATAGGGCACCCTGTAACTATAACCAGTCCATTATCCATGACCTCTCCTTTAACACTTACTACCCCAGTCAACCTTCCCACCCCAGTCACTGCTCCAGTGAATATAGCACACCCTGTCACCATCACGTCTCCAATGAACCTGCCCACACCTATGACGTTAGCTGCCCCTCTCAATATAGCAATGAGGCCTGTAGAGAGCATGCCTTTCTTACCCCAAGCTTTGCCTACATCACCACCTTGGTAAACAGTATTATAAAATCAAAATATGGGTTAAAGTAAATATTTACCAGCAACTTACTTTTAGTTTATTAAAGCAAAAAGTAAACCATGAAATTGGGAGATTTTATTATATTAGTTAATAATAGTGTAGTGGCATTTTTTTCCAATTTGGCTGGGATTGTTCAAGGTAGGGTGTGTATGTAACTTATCACTGGACCACTTTAGTTTAATCAGAAATTCGTTTTAGCTGACAGCATTGCTTAAACAATAGTAGTTGGCAAGGTAAAATGCCAGAATTAAAACCAATCATAAAAAAGCAAAACCCATTTCAAAATAAAAAAACAGCATTACTGTTTCTAATCCCAAGGAATCATTTTATTCTAAACACTAGCAGAACTCTTCTCCCCATACGAGGTGGATGGCTGATTTTAACCCGAAGCTCTAAATCCACAGAGAGCTAGTGCAGAATTGTCTGTGTTTATTGTTTTTATGAGTCAATACATGCATTGTCATAATAAAATGCATTTCAGAGAATATGCATTTTACCTTTGGGAATATGTTAATTTCAGGCAGCATTCCCTATGGGAAAGGTGATACCAGCTCTGATATGCAAAGCATATGATAATTTATCATTCTAACTTCAACATATAATAGGGATTGTGACCTGATATTTGGAGATGTAAATATTGCTCAGCATATTAATCCTGATGGAATATAGCATTGTAGTAGACTTTTTAAAAAAAAACAAAACACCAAAATATACAAATTGTGTTTTGGTAAGAAAAGGCCTCAACTGACAGAGGAGAAGTCAAGTTTGTGGACGGGCAGACTCCTAACAGAGGCCACTGGGACTCCTATTCAGGAGCCAAGGAGTACTTTCGAACAGTTAAAATATATTGCTTTAAATTGGAAGATGCTGGAGGCACTGGGATGTGATATGCCCCTCTCTCTCCCAATCAGAGCCTGTTGATATTACAACAGGGGAAGATGTGTTAGTTGCTCACTAGAGTTTATGTCTTATATTAAATTGTATACAGTTTTTATTCTAACCACTAACTAGGTAGTATACCCCTTCAGAACAAGCAGAGTGTATCTTTTTTTTTTAATTTCTCCTTCCGTTTCTTAATCAAGTATCGTGGAGATTTGTTCAACTTTGTAAATATGAACATCACTTTTTTTTCTTTGAGAAAACACTTGTATCAGCTTTGTGGTGTTTTCAGGGAGACAGCTATCTGTGCTCCCTGTAGAAACCCAGCAATGATTGTGCACGTTAAGACATGTGCTTTTTATTTCTTAGCAGAATGTTTTATTTCTGTACATAAAGTAGAAACCAAAAGTTAGGGAAACAGATACACTTTACACCATCATGCCACACATTAATGTTTTTAAAACATTGTGTTTTTAAAAAAAAAAAAAAAGTTACTAAAACCAAGACGCTGTGATCTTTTTTTTTTTAAGTTGCAATATGTTTTTGGGTTTTTTTTTTTTCCTTTTTTAATCTTGCAGTTAAGAGAAATGGAATTTAGTTGTATTAATCTTGGAGAATGTTTGCAGGACTGACTATCAAACTGGATGACTTCCGTTTATACCCCACTGTGTCAGTTCAAGCATCCAATACCTTACATCTGAGGCAGACTTCCTACATCAGGGACAGGTATCTGTGTGTCATTATACAAAACAGTTCGAGGGGGTTGAACTACATAGTAAAAAATAAAAATAGTACTTAGTGTAAAATAATTTTATAAATGATCTTTTGTACTTTAGGACATTAAATTGTACAACTTTTGTATATATAAAAGCTTAGGAACTTTCTGTTTAGCAGGAAGGCAACACATTCCTACACTTTTAATGTATATGTTTGTTATAATGTCCATGTAAACATGCCCTATGTTTGTGCCTTTTAATTAGTTTGTCTCAATAAACAAAATGTAGAGAAAAATATGTAGCTATGACTTTGTTACAACTGTTCCTATCCACAGTACAAAGATGGTTTGTTTTTAATCTGTAGAGCATTATGTGTGGACTACTGGAAGGACTTGTGTAGGGAAGGCCCACACACGGCCCTGCTGAGGCCTAGATTGGGCAGGTAGTGGCCACATTTGGAGGAAGTGTACATTTCCTGGCATGCAGCCCCAGGACCGGGTTCTGGCTCTGCCTGCTAGGACCTGTCATCTCTCTGGCTGGGCTGGCAGTCACCATCCACCCTGATTCAGATAGCCCAGGCTTCCTCCACAGTGGCCCAAGGAGCAGTCCTCAGTGGGGGCACGTGTGGACCCTACCCCCAGGCTAGAGTGTGGTCGTCAGAACCCTGAAAGTATTAGTTCTTTAAAAAAAAAAAAAAAAAAAGATATATACTAGAAATGATTGTTTTATCAATTCATTGTATAATAAACAGGAGTGAGACTTCATTGTATGACTTCAGTTAAAATGCTATTTTGTATGCATTCTTTATTCACTTAAGAAGCTTGTCTGCAATAATAAAGCCACGTCGTGTCTTCTTTTGGGAGGGAGAGAGTCGGCAGGAAGGGGGTGGCGGCGGGCCACTGAAAGGGGGGCCAAATAGGTTGTGTGGTGAGATTCTCCTGTGTCTTGGAACTGGAATTGAGTTTTGATGCTGATGAACTGATTCAACCAAGTGTTGAAGGCACGACGGCCACCACGCTATGAAAAAGCAGTTTTGTTTTTCCCTTCTGGTTGTAACCTGGTTGAGAGCTTCCCCTTTATCAGATTGGCAGCTAAACAGTTGTATTAGATAATCCTCAAATCTGACATCCAGCCTGTTATGCTCTAGGGCTCGCTGCTTGGCCTGCATTTGCCTTTTATTGTATATCCATTTCCCTCCTAAGGTGTGCTCCTAAATGAAGGTTTCTATGTAAGCAGATGATGATTTTTTCCTGTCAATACCAGCACTGTATTACTAACATGCAAAATACTGCAGATTTATTTTGACAAATTAAAGTTAACCAGTCACAAACGTTATGATGGATTGCTTACTATCTCAGAAGCTTCATCAGTTCACTACAATGGTAGAAAGATTTTAAAGCACTGCTTCTCCAGGTGTACACATCTTAGTATGGGGCTGGAGAAAGGGGGAGGGACTGTTGTCATGCTGGTTGGTACTGAGCTGCTACCAAGAAGAGGGTGGAAATGCACCATACTGATCATAGGAGACAGACTCCTGCCAGTCAGCTTGAGGAAAAGCTAGGAACCCAGGCCTTGGGTCAGTGGCAATAGGCATAGTCTCCTGTTCTACCCAAAAGAAAAATGGGTTTAGGGCATTTCTCATGCTCTAGAACCCAGTTTCCTTGCTGGTAAAGGGTTTTAGGCTGGGTCTCATACCCATTTGTGTTCAGCTAGATTCATCAGATGTCCGTTGGGTATCAGTAATGTGCCAAGCGCTCCTTGGGCACTCTTGGGTTGTGTAAAGCAATTCCGATGTGGTTGCTATCTCCCAAGGGCGCTGGAAGAGGAACATGACAAGCACTCAAGTGACAGTATTCTCACCAGATCAAGTTGAATCTGACCCTTCATTTAGTGAAAAAGTTTTGGATACTTACATGTGTTTTATATAGAATTAAAGCTTCCCAAACCTTTTCTGATGATTGCTTTAGTCTCTGTTGACTCGGTGAAAACAGCTGGAGGAAAAGTGTTCCTAGTGTTGCTTCTGTCTGGAAGCGAGTGTTACTTCCCTGAGTTGCTAGCTAGCCTTTAGAGCCCTGGCTGTCCAGGTCTCTGCTCTTTTCAAGGGGCCCAGCAGTTTGGTCCTCTCTAAAGAGACCTGGGTCCAGGATATAGAGGGGATAGTGAAGGTTTTCCCTGAAGTGTCCTCAAGGATCGCTGGACAAAAAGTCCAGTGTGTTCATGGGATTAATTATACATTCCCCCTCCCTACTCTAGTAAATGTGGCTCTCAGTCTTGCACTCTTTGTTTCCCCCTTAAAGAGCCTTGTAGCCTGAACGAATGCCATTTGTCCCCATTTGAGCCTATAAATCTCCCCCACAGCTGGTCTGACCCTGGCAGATTACTGGATAATCTCCCCCTGGTCTTCTAAAAAGGAGGGGGTAGGGGAGACCAGTGTGTGATGGTTCAGGACTCAATACTGACTGTGCATTGATCTAGATTCCAGCTTCTCTTGGTTGCCCACTGTTGGGCAGTCAGACTCATTTAGTTCCCAAGGAAAGAATGGAAAGACAGTCAAAGGCTTTGCTTTGGATTTTCATGTAATCTAGCCTTCTTAGGGCAATCTGTCAGGGGCTGGCTAGTTAGCTTTTCCCTTCCCAAAACAGGCACTTGACCTAGATCTTGGCCCTGGACCATGAGGGTCAAGTATACTTCACTTTACAAAAACTGCCATGTCATGGTAAGAGAAGGGATTTTTCACACTTCAGATTCTGTATCACCACTGACTTGCATCATAATTTCAGAGCTTTTCTTCATCCTTGATCATCTTAAATTGACATCCCATCCCCTTCCCAATCCCTAAATATCTTTTTGAAGAGTGCATAAAATAATTTAAAATCACTATTCTTACTGGAATTAATCCTTTTTGAGTATGTACTGCCAGCCACGCAGGAGGAATTCTCCGGAATGTTTTTGGAAGTTTATGTTCTTTATGGATTTTTCTCAAAGTGAGGTTGATTTGGCTGCATCAGCCCTGTGACTTGTATGTCACTTTTTCCTAAATACATCTATAAAGAGCCTGAAGCAAGAACTACCAGGCTAAAGGTGGACATTTGAGTCCAGCATCCTGTTCTGCCAGTGAGCTCTTCCTTTGGCATGGGAAGTGGAGAGGACAAGGAGACCAAGGGGGCAATGGCAGGGACATGCCCTCCCAGTGACTGGTCCACCAACTCTGTCTGAAAGTCAGTGCCCCGATCCCAGACTGGGAACAGATGTACCAACCCTAGAGGCTGTTCATGGAGAGAGGAGCCAGCCTCAGAGACTCAGATGCAAAGTTAAATCTTTGTCAATCGTAGAGGCAATCAGGGGCCACCTAAGCCACAGTGAGCTTAATCCACTGAGAGAGCTGACTTGAAGGAGCCTGGACACCCAAGGCCCTTGGCGCACAAGCCAAGAAATTCCTAGCTTTGTTCATGGTGGGAAAAGAGCCAAAGATACATCAACTCTGCTTAATGGGGGGAGGGGTAGAGGGAGGCCGGAATTGAGGGACTTGGAGGTTCTAGGAAGAGGCCCCGGGAAGGGGAGAGAGATTTGGGAGGAAATGTCTTTGTGCTTCCTGTGGTGTAACTGTCACCCCGAGTCCCCCCCTCTCCATCTATCTGCCCTGGGCTGGACATGATTGCTCCAAGGACTGAGACAGGCTACTGGTCCAAGCCAGTAGTGATCATTTTAGCTTCACTGAGCAGAAAAGAAGATGTGTCCTTTAGCCGCCATAAATAGGACTGCATCAGGAGCTGAATAAATAGGCAAGATTCAACTAATTAGTATGGAATCCCCCAAGGTGGGATCCATGAGCCACTTTCAGGTGAAGAGGTGGGGGTCCCATCCTGGAATCCCCAGAGCTTCAACCCAAGAGAGTAGGCCCTGTGGCTCATGGTGGCCTGCCCAACAGAAGAGAAGTTCTGACACTTGGTCAACACCAGGCGCTCTGTGGCTGTCAGGGATCTCCGAGGGGGGAGAATGGGGCAAGGGTAGAGTTGGGGACAGAGAGACAAATGAGACGGAGCCTTTCTATATGCTGTTCCCAGGTCTAGAATGTCCTCCCCACAAGCAACCCTGCAACCCATTTGCTCCATTGTGAACCCCTAGATATCCCACAAAACAATTTAAATGTTGCTCTGAAACCTAACCAGTAACATTAGACAGTTGGCTCATTTGTCTGCGGTATAACAAGAGGAGTTGGGAGATGCCCAAATAAAATGGAGGTAGTCTAGCACCCTTTGGTTTCTAAGTTCAGCTCTAGGGCCCACCCCACCCCCAAATCTCTGATTCCAAATTAGTGGGGCCACGACAGCCTGGGGTTTTGCTGACTTTCCCTTGTATGGACGGGTCCCCATGTCTGGGAAGCCTGAAACACAACAAAGCACCAAGTGCCAAGGCCAGAAACAGCAGCAACAGGTACATGAGGCCCCCACAGGATCCTGAGCAGGGTGAGAATGGGCATAAGGTCCCCGTAATACAGGGTTGCACTCGAGCAGAGGGTTGGGATCTGACAGGCTTGGGTGTAAATCTAGGCTGTGCCATCTGGAGCTGTGGGATCTTGGGCAAGATGCACAACCTCTCTGGCCTCCGTTTGCTCAGCTGTAAAATAAGAATGATAACAAGAATGTACCCCACCTCCACCTGGTCCTTCTATTCCCTATCTCATTAACAGCAACATCAGTTTGCTCAGGGCACTAACTCCATTCTCTGTAAGACCTACAAAGTTGCAGAATGCTTCCCTGCATGGCCTCCGCACCTCAGACTCTCAGATTCTGAGGACTGGCATCCAGCATAGGAACCAGAGCCTCATCCAAGAGTGAGTAAGTTAGACGGAAGACCCGGCTGGGAAAAAGCAGCTAACTGAAGGCTGGCCAGAGATGAGACAAAGGAGGGTTCAGGTTAGACCCAGGGAAGAACTGCAAGGTTGGGAAACCTGGGAAAGCAGCCACGATCTGGGGATGGTGCATCCTGCTTCAGGCACGTCGTTCTATCTCGCTTCCTTCTCCTACACGCACTACATCCAGACACGATGCCTGGGCCGCTCTTCCCGGTGGTCCCGCCAGCCTGGCACTCAGAGGTAGTTCTTAAAGCCGGCTGCTGCAAGCCTGGCACAGGCCTGAACTCCTGCCCTCCCAAGAGGAAAAGGAGCGCCACCTCCCCCCCAGGCAGGACAGGGGAGAGAAGCCTGACAGCCTTCTCACACCTGCTTGCTCCAGAGTCAGTCCTGGGCACCTCCACCTGCTCCCCCGAGGGAAGGCGTCCCGGACTCAAGGCGCTCCGAGACGGGAGCCCCGCAGGGAGCGTGGCACACCTGGCTTTTGCCAGGGCTGCCTGGGTCAAGCCACTGTGGTGCCCAGTCCGCCAGGGCTGGCGTCCAGTGCCCTCCACCGTTTGGCCTGATCTACTTTGCCGGCCTCCTCTCGGGGATCCCGCCCCCCCCCCCCCGCCTCCCTCTCCCCCAGGGCCCACTGGAGTGACTGCAGGGCCGCGACGCCGCGGCGGCGAGCCCCGCCCCGGGCGTGCTGGCCCCGCCCCCACAAGGGCGTTACTGAGCCGGGATTGGCTGAAATGTCCTGTCTGCGTTCTGATTGGTCGGGCCGGGTTGTTCATTCATCTAGAGCAGGCCTCTTGCAGAAGTTTCTCCAGGGCTGCTTCACTTTCTTCTCTCTGCACAACAGTTGTACTTTCTAGGTAAATAGATAAAATGCAGGTCTATGCGTCCACAGGTGAGGTGCCGCCGAAAAATAGTGTTGGCCCCATCTCTCAGTAAACTGCATCCAAAGCACACAGGTGGGGAACAGGGAGAGGCGTGTGGTGGGGACTGCATTTGCAGCGCGGGGGGAGGCTGCGCGGTTCATCCCCTTCGCTGGGGCAGCTTCTCAGAAGACTCACGTCGCTAGAACCGGCGCTGTCTACCGACGCTTATATTTCACTGCCTTCTGTCATGTTGTTCCATATGCTAGGAATGCTTTTCCTTCTCAAGCGTCCAATTTTTTTTTTTAAGATTTTATTTATTTATTCATGAGAGAGAGAGGCAGAGACACAGGCAGAGGGAGAAGCAGGCTCCATGCAGGGAGCCCGACGCGGGACTTGATCCCAGGTCTCCAGGATCAGGTCCTGGGCTGAAGGCGGCGCTAAACCGCAGCCCCCCCCCCGGGCTGCCCTGTGTGTGTGTGTGTGTGTGTGTGTGTGTCTCTAAATATTCCTATTCAGGGGGATCCCTGGGTGGCTCAGCAGTTTAGTGCCTGCCTTCGGCCCAGGGCATGATCCTGGTGTCCCGGGATCGGGTCCCACATCAGGCTCCCTGCATGGAGCCT